AGAGAGAGAGAGAGAGAGAGAGAGAGAGAGAGAGAGAGAGTAGCCGGATGACATTTCAAGATGTCAACATCTATGTCCGCGGGAAGATCGATGTCGGGGGCTGGAGGGACTAAAAAGCTCCATTTTCAGCGCTTGGAAACACTTCTTGACACGCTACCACCCTGACCGTATGTGACCGAAAAATCGACAAAGTACAAAACGTCGTGCAAGTATAGGTTCCTCGGCGCGACGGTGCGTTCGTGCAGCTGCTCCTCCCTCCTGCTCCGCTCCATCGGTGAGTAGCGCAGCTGAGTCATCTCGTCCACCTCCCCGTGTCCGTCCGCTCCTTCTACGCTCCATCGGTGTATGGCGGTGGTGGGACGCAAGCCACTGCCATCGGACAGGCCTCCTCGATCATCTGCACGACATTCGGAGTAAGAATTGGCCGATCGATGACGTGCACGACGACACCCGCAGCGGTCACGACGTCGGACCCATCCGGTAAGATCTGCGCATCATCCACGAAGATGCCTGTATTTGCGCCAGGGTACCTTGATGCCGCTTGGCGGATAACGACGGCGCTGGAGTCTCCTCCCGCCAACGTGGGCTGCAGGAACTTCCCATTCGGCGACTGGCTGACCGTCGTCGTCAACGCGTCCATCGGCAGACGCACTGGGATCGCGTGGGACAATTTAAAAGCCGTCAAAATCTCCTTTTCTCGTGGCGATTGCTCGAGACATCGGACGATGGCCTCAGGCGTTGCAAGCAGCGAGACGTCGGTGGGTGCGAAGATGGTCACCCCTTCAGGCTTTTGACGCTGATTCTCCATCGCTTGAAGAACATTCGGTAAGGATCGCAAACCCTCAGCGAATAAACTCAAGTTCTTGCCTGCCGAAGATTGCTGGATCAGATCAGGAATCGACGGCTGACCCTGTTGCGCCATAACCGGCTGCGTCAACAGCCAGGTTGCAGCTAGGAACATGGCGAACACAGCGGCAGCAGCGACGGCCATCTCGGTCACCAGCAGAATCGCCTTCGTTGTCGTGGTATTAATCCTCCTTCCCCCCCTGCCTTGTTCTGAAAAGATTCTCCTTCCCGTGTCAACCACCCACGCTCCTATACTCTTTCGGCTACCGAGCACCGCTCCCATCCGATCGAGAGTAACCCCGAAAGAACGTACACAGTTACACACACACACACACACACACACACACACACACACACTCACAAATGCACACGCACGTACGCAGATTAAAACACACAAACACTCTCTCACACTCACACACACTCTCTCTCACACACATGCACAAGCACGTACGCAGATTCACAGACACACACACTCTTTCACACACACACACACACACACACACACCTGCACAAGAACGTACGTAGATGCACACACAAACATTCACATGCACAAGCATGTACGTAGATGCACACACGCACACACACTCACATGCACGCACACACACGCACAGAGGACATGCACATCACCCTGATTCAC